ATAAGTAACATAATAGTAACATAATAGCAAAATAATAGAACAGTTCTATTATTTTACTTTTAGTCTTTGTAACTAAAGTAAAATAATAGAACTGTTCTATTATTTTACTATTATATTACTATTATGTTACTTATATTGACAAACCTTTTGTTATTTTACTATTATTTTGCTATTATGCTACTGTTATGCTGCTATTATTTGGCAGATATAGAGTAGAATAATAGCAGATTTTTTTTCTGTTATTTATCTATTATTTACCTTTTATTTATTTATTTGATTTGTGCAAGGTCAAGGAAAATGTGATGGATTGTTACTCAAAAATACCAAACGTTGCAAAACATTGTATTACAGAAGAGGTGAAATAATTTAGCAAGGCTAAGGTGTGAGTGCAAGGTTTTGGTTTATTAATGAGATGGTTTTTATTACTAACATGACTATTACTAATGATGTTTATCCTAAAATGCTTCTTTCTCTCTAACTCTAAGAAAAAAAGGCACTTATATACAAAAATGGCACCTTACAAAAAGAGACAACACAGAGGCCCAAAATCAAACAATTTTTTACTGAACTTAATAGTTTCAGATTTGTCATTATGATTAAGACCTTAAATGGCCTTATGTGGCACAAACAACTAGCCCAATCTGGCAGATCTATCCTAACAAACAGCTATAGTTTCTGATTCTGCATCATTACAGCATTGTTTCAAATAAGCAGCTTGGCTTCCAAGTTTCTCAAGATACAATTGATGCACAATTATTTTTTTGTTTCAAAAATGTTCTTACTGTAAGAGAAGCATGAGTCAGGATGGCACTGGGTTAGAGCAACTCTGGTATCCATTTTGCCTTTAACAATATGATTAAAGATAGTTCTGATGATATTAAATCTTTATTTTGTGCTATTTATCATTAGTTAATGTAAATCAATAAAAAAATATTTATTTATATAACTATTTATTGTGTATGATTAAAGTAAATCGCAATAAATTAAAGCAAACCTTTTCTTTGTACTATTAAATTATTAGCTATATATTAGTAAATATATATACCATAATATGATATTAAGTAATTCAATAAAGTAATAAAAACTACACATTATCTGACATCTTGTTATATATATCTGGAGTTGACAAATCATATGAAATTAAACAATCACCTTGTGTTATTAAACCTTTTTGAACAAAATTGGTAACAATTCAATGTTTTAATATGCCATAAACTAGTTCAACAAACAATCAAAGTCATTTATTACCTGGTGCTTTATTAGAAAAAATTGGTAATGGAGGTTCAAGTAACAGATTATATGATACTAAAAACAAACCTTCATTTTGTTTCATTAGCCCTTCTTGAAGACAAAAACAGAACTGATAAATGTTCTATATCTAAATGTGCTATCAACTAATTTAATAAACTTATTAAATTATTACTTGATATTTTATTATAAAAGGTTAGAAGTGGCAAATTGGATAAAGTTATTTCTTTACTTTGTGTTATTAAGCTTTAGTGATTTAATTAATTTGGTAAGTAAAAATACTCATAGCTTCTAAGCATACTGCTAACTTTTCAATAATAAAATAAGACTTATATTATTTAAAAATAAATAAGTAAATTTGAATAGTGAAAAAAACTTGTTATCTTGTAATATTTATTTTGTTAATCACATTATTACAAGTTGTGAATATGCAAAAAAAAAAAAAAGCATGGCTCAAACTCTCATTTACTGTATTGAATAGTAAAGATTGTGATAAGATATTGTAATAGTCAGTTCACAAAGTAACTATTAGTGTTAGCATTAAAGCATATCAATATCAATACCTTGCTCTGTAAAGAAAACTTAGACTATGTTATATAGTTATATACTAATATGTACATATGTATGTACATACATACATGTGTATATATATAAGTGGTTACACAAAGTGGCTACATGTAATCAGTAGCTGCACATAAATTATTTCAAAATTTTAATATTAAGATTAATATATAAGATTAATTAAGTTTAAGAAAGATTTTGAAATATAGAAAATTATTATTTAAAATATATTATAAATAGTTTATATAAAAATAAAGTAAATAATACATAGAAGGCCAAGATTATGACGGTCAGACCCAACATACAGAGCAGACTTTGGTACCTTGCACAGCAGTTAGAGCCGAGCATACGGTGATCGACCCTGCAGAAGACAATCTCAGAAGATCATTCCCAACATCTTTAAGCCCCTATGATCTTCATACATGTTTCAACAAATTCCTTCTTTATTACAACTTACTACTTCTTCCTCATGGTCAAATGATTCA